TAAAAGATGAAAAATGTATTCATTAGTTGAGAAAAGTTAAGTTACAATATCTATTATATACAATGTGTAATAACTAACATGTAAATAAAAATAACAAACTATACACGCGTAAGGTTGAGATGGATAGAGAAATGTATTATGCTAACATCCCTCCTCAAGTTGGACTATGTATGCTAAGGAGTCCTAACTTGGACTAGATGGTAGACAAAGATGGTGAGTGCAAAGGCTTTGTAAAAGCATCTTCCAGCTGAGGCTTTGTTGAAACCGGCAGAAGGTGAAATAAATTGGATTGCAGTTTTTTACGAATGACATAACAATCAAGTTCGATGTGTTTACTTCACTCGTGAAAAGTAGGATTGTGAGCGAGGTAGATATCAGATTTGCTATCACAAAACACATAGGCAGGTCGAGGAAAAGTCATTTGGAAGTCTTGGAAAAGATATTGTAACAATTCTCACCGGTATTTGATTTTATAGACCCACCTACATCCAATAGGTTCTTACCAGGAGGTAGTTCATCAACATCCCAAGTGTGATTCTCAGCAAGGGCTTCTAACTCAACATTCATAGCATTCTTCCAACAGTCAAACTGGATGGCTTATTTAAAAGTTTTTGGTTCAATGTTAGATGAGATGGAACAACAGAAATATTTATATGAGGGAAGACATTTATCATATGTAAGCACTAAAGATAAAGGATATTCTATGGTAGAATCATGTGAATGCAGTGAATGAGACTTATTGATAGCAGAGTAAGAATGATAGTCTTCTAAATAACTTGGGGGATTAGAAGCACGAGTGGAATATCTTAAAGATTGAGATGTATTGGTATTAGGAGCAGGATTTGTAGGACAAGGTGGGTTGATATTAGCTTGTGTACTAGGAAGTCCATTATATAAAGTATGAGAGAGAGGACTAGAAATAGAGTTGTTGGCAGAAAGTTGGACAGGCTGGCTAGTACCTGCTATATTAAGACTGACAGGCTGGCTAGTACCTGCAATATCAAGACTGAAATTATTAGGACTTGCAGAACTGAAGCTTGTATTACTGGGGCCTACAGTATCATGGATAAGTTTATGTATAGGACTTACAGGTACAACATTATTATACTGGTTATGAGTTATAGGACTAAGTCCGGAGTATTTATGGGAGGGTCAGACTCATTATGTTGGTTATAGGAAAAAGGTGATATGACAGATTCATGAAGGACCTCAGTAGAGTCACTGTCAAGGGAAGTAGCAGGTATGTCATTGGCATAAGAGTATGATATATCAGTAGTAGTAGCAGACCTAGGTAAGGTGGATATATTATCGAGTGATGAATAAGGTTGTGGATCAGATTGAATTTGGTTATGTTGTGTGGTAGGATTTTGGTTATTGTGGTGAGGTTTGAAGGGAAAGTTATTTTCATAAAAAATAACATTTCTAGATATAAAGTTATTGTGATTGTGCAAGTCATATAGGATATACCCTTTTGCTCCATCCTTGTAGCCAAGAAACACACATTTTCGAGCCCTAGGGGAAAACTTGGTTCTATGAGCTTGTATGGTTGTAGCAAAACATAAACAACCAAAAACTTTTAAATGTATCAAGCACAAAAGTTCCCCATGTTTAAAGGGGTATTAGAATGGAAATTTAAGGTTCTAGCAACATTTAAAATGTGCTGGTGTTTTTCCTCAACCACCCCATTTTGTTGGGGGTGTTTCAACACAGGATTTGTGATGAATAATACCTTTGGACAGAAGAAATTCAGATAAGGTTCTAGCAACATTTAAAATGTGCTGGTGTTTTTTCTCAACCACCCCATTTTGTTGGGGTGTTTCAACACAGGATTTGTGATGAATAATACCTTTGGACAGAAGAAATTCAGATAAGGCAACAAATTCAGTGCCATTATCTGTTCTAAGAGACTTCAAAGAGGACTTGAACTAATTTTCAATATATGTTATGAATTGTATGATACTAGTCTTAACTTGGTCTGTTGTCTTAAGAAAAATAACCTAAGTGTATTTACTGTAGTCATCAACAAGTGTCAATAAATATTTGTGTCCTAGGAATGAAATAGTAGAAAAGGGGCCCCAAACATCAGCATGCAATATTTCAAAAGGAACATAAAATTGAGTAGTACTATAAGAAAAAGGTAACTTTTTATGTTTGCCAAGATGACAGGATTCACATGGATTATTATTGTTTGTACAAGGAATAAAAGGAATCACTTTCGTAACAACTTTTAAACCAGTATTTGAAATGTGTCCTAGTCTACAGTGCCAGAGATTACAAGTATTAGTAATATTGGAACTATAAGCAGAAGATTATGGCGTAGAGTCCATAACATACAATCCTCTTTGTAATTTAGTTGTACCAATCATTGCCTTGGAAAGCTTCTGCATGATTTGGCAAGTATCAGCAGTGAAATGCACAGAACAATTATTACTGCTTACAAGCTTAGCAATAAAGATAAGGTTGACATGAAATTTTGGAATATAAAGAACATTGTGTAAAGTTAAAGATGTTGAGACGATGAAACTACCAGACATAGATGCAGCAATGTAAGATCCATCAGGTAAATTACCAGCACTCTATGATTTTCCTGAATATCAGAAATGCGAAACAAATCTCTGTGAGAAAAACGAGTTTGTAAATTCTTCCATACACCAGCAGCACTATCGATCCATAACACGGATTTGGCAATGGATTCTGAAATTGAACGGTGAAGCCAAGCAAGAACCATGGTGTTGTATCGAATCCATGGAGTATACAAAGGATCTGCTACTGGAGGTTTGGTCAAGGTTCCATCAATAAACTTCTCTTTGTTCTTGGAAATCAGAGCGATATCGATCTTGACCAAGTGCGATAATTCTTATCATCAAGCAATGGAGATCCAAGGACGAGTGGTGGATTTTCGTTTGGATGTAGGAAGTAAGGGTTTATGGAATTCGTAGAGAAATCATTGTGGATCTGGTAAGCCATTGATGAAAGAAAGAAAATCAAGAACAAATGGGAAAGAGAAAAAAGTGTAGAGCGAAGCTGCAATGAGAAGGAAACAAGATTCTGCAAGGAAAAACCAAAGATTGCAAAGGGTAAAACGGAAGGAAAAGAAGCAACAATGGCTACCAGAGTTTTGAAAGATCTGATACCATTTTAATAGTGCAGTAAAAGCACTCATGTATCATGGTAAAGTTACAGATAAACCGAACAAACATTGAAAAGGAAAGAGAAAGCTCGTAAAAGATGAAAAATATATTCATTAATTGAGAAAAGTAAAGTTACAATATCTATTATATACAATATGTAATAATTAACATGTAAATAATAATAACAAACTGTACGCGTGTAAGACTGAGATGGATAGAGAAATGTATTATGCTAACAGTATTTTATTATTTAAGTTAAGATTATTTTTATTTTTATTTTTTCTAAGATGCATGACTTTTTAATGTAATTTCTTAATCACTTGAATAAATTACTACTCACTCCGTTCGTTGGGTAATTATTATTATTATTATTATTATTATTATTATTATTATTATTACTATTATTATTATTACTATTACTACTATTACTATTACTATTACTATTATTATTATTATTATTATTATTATTATTATTATTATTATTATTATTATTATTATTATTATTACTATTATTATTATTATTATTATTATTATTATTACTATTATTATTACTATTATATAAAATTTTGCGACTTCAATGACCAATGCAATTCAAACTGTCTAAAATTTAGTAAATAATAATAACAAATTGTACACGTGTAAGACTGGGATGGATAGAGAAATGTATTATGGTCACAGTATTTTATTATTTAAGACTATTTGTATTTTTATTTTCTCTAAGATGCATGACTTTAATGTAATTTCTTAGTCACTTGAATAAATTAGTATTAAATATTATTATTATTATTATTATTTTATTTATTTTTTTTTTTTTTTTATTTATTATTTTTTTTTTGCGACTCCAGTGACCAATGCAATTCAAACCGTTTAAAATTTAGGACTATAAAACTCAAATTTAAGATAATTTATAAGTAACTAGTAATCTTATGTAAGCAGCCGCACTTATTATTCAAGTCATATGTAATAAATAAATATTTCTATTTATATTCTAACATATATTTCTAAATAGACTCCAATATTTATCACAAATTACAAGCAAGACACATCATCTATTATAGATGACAATTATAAGTTTATAAATTAAAAAATTAAATATATATATATATATATATATATATATATATATATATATATATATATATATATATATATATATATATATATATATATATATATATATATATATATATATATATATATATATATATATATATATATATATATATATATGCACGCGCACGTGTACACATTTACGTATATTTTACTGACTAAATATTTTACTTTATTATTTGTATGAATAAAGTTGTATTTAAATTATATATTTATTATAATTTAGTATTTAAGATTGTCACTAATAATTATCATTTTATTTGAAAAGAGTTTGTAATTTTTAATATTAATTTTAATTGAATATTCAATTTTGTCACTAGTAATAATTAGTTTTATTACTCAGCTGCAGCAAGCACAGAGAGAAACTCTAGTGGCGCCTATTTCCAGTGATGAGATCTATGATGCGCTGAAAGGAATCAACGATCTGGCTGCTCCTGGATTAGATGGATTTTCTGCTAAATTTTTCAAGGCCAGTTGGGATACTGTTAAAGGCGATGTCATAGCTACTGTTAAGGACTTCTTTGAAAAAGGCAAGCTCTATAAAGCCTTCAACTGTACTCTTGTTTCTCTTATCCCCAAATCTGAGTCTGCCTCCTCTATTAAGGATTATAGGCCCATCTCTGTGTGCTCTGTCATTTATAAAATCATTTCCAGAATCATGACCAAAAGACTAAGCAGAGTGATTGGTAGTATTATCAGTCCAAATCAGGCTGCTTTCATTCCTGGGCAACAGATCCATCACCATATTCTTCTTGCTTATGAACTTATAAAGGGGTATAATAGGAAGAATGGCCCTCCTCGTGTTATGCTATAGCTGGATATGCAAAAAACATACGACATGGTAAGTTGGAAAACTCTGGAGCTGATTATGCAGGAACTTGGTATTCCAAATATTTTCATTCAGTGGATTATGGCGGCTGTTTCTAACACATCTTATAGATTCTCTATGAATGGCTATACTACTGAGTTACTGGTGGCTAAGCGAGGAATACGCCAAGGGGACCCCATTTGTCCTTTCCTCTTCTCCTTTATCATGTAATATCTCCATAGATGTTTGGCTCTTATGCAGATCAATCCAAACTTCAACCATCACTCTAAGTGCGAGAAACTTCAGTTGATTAACCTCATGTTTGCGGATGATGTTCTACTGTTTTAAAGAGGGGACACAATCTCTGTTAAGCTTCTTCTTAATGCCTTCACTACTTTTTCTAATTCTACAGGTATGGTGGTCAATATTAGCAAGAGCAAAATTTATTTTGGTTCTGTGGATTCTAGCACCAAGAATCAGATCTTAACGTGGGCTAAGTTCAAGGAGGGCTCTCTTTCATTTCGCTATCTGGGTATTCCTCTAACCTCCAAGAAGTTGAGTTGCAACCATTATTTTCCTTTGGTGGATAAGATTCTGGCCAGAATGAGTCATTGGTCTGCTAGACTTCTTAGCTACGCTGGGCGTATTCAATTGGTAAAATCTATCTCTTTTGTTATTGCTAATTTCTGGATTATGGTTCTTCCCCTGCCTAAAGTTGTCCTCAAGAAGATTGATTGTATGTGCCGGTCCTTTATTTGGTCTGGAACTAATACTATGAATAGAAGAAGTTTGGTAGCTTGGAATACAGTCTGTAAACCGGCCAAGTATGGTGGTTTGGGGATCACTGATCTTTGCATCTGGAACAAGTGTGTTATGCTGAAACTGTTGTGGAACATATGCGCTAAATCTGACAGTCTTTGGTTGAAGTGGGTTCACGCTTACTACTTGAAGGATTATAACATGATGGAGGCCAAAGTTAAAGCTTCTAGCTCGTGGATTATGCGTAAAGTCTTGGATCAGAGGTCCTTTATTCTTTCTCATCCCCATTTTTGGTATGCATTAATCTCCAAGGGTTTCTTTAGCATGAGGGGCTGTTATCTGGAAATGATTGATAAACCTCAGGTTCCGTGGTCTAAGCTGGTGCAGAACAACCCGGCCAGGCCTAAAGCTAAAATTATTTTATGGTTGGCTTGCCACAATAAGCTAGCTACCAAAAGTCGTTTATGCCGTTTTGGCTTCATCACGGACAATAGGTGCTGCTTCTGTCCTAGTATAGAAACTGCTTCTCACCTTTTCTTTGATTGTGATGCTACTAGGCGGATTTGGTGTGAAGTGCTTGCTTGGCTCCAAATGCAATATCATGTGCCTAAAGCTTGGGAGGAGGAGCTTGAATGGGCCATCAAGTGGGGAAAATGCAAAGGTTGGAGGGCCTGCCTGATTAAGCTTGCCATTGCTGAAACAATCTACGGAGTTTGGATCTATCGTAATAGCATTTGTTTTGGGTCTGGTTTGGATTTGTGTCATGTGACTAAAACTATTATCGATACTATTGTTTTTAGGGGATGGCATTGTAAAATCTTAAAAAATAGGATTCTCGGGTTAATGTTGCCTTAGGTTCTTTGGTTGGCTGGATCCATGCGATCGCTGTGTATTTCTTTTGCTTTTTGGTATAATACAAGTTCTTATTCAAAAAAAAATAAATAATTAGTTTTATGTGAAAATTACTAATAATTTATCGGTTAGAAGAAATGAGGGGAGTTAAATAAACACACTAAATATTAAGAAATGTGTTTTTCTTTAAGATATTACAATATTGTAGATCAGCCTGTTATTTTTGTTTATATCAATGAGCATTATGAAAATGTTCATTATTTGTAAATTACCGTACATTATTTTTAGACTACAGGTTCGTCGTTCACAATGAGCATTGAAATAGAACTCGGAGACATTACACAACCACTTTCCTTAAGAATTTCAAACCTCGACATCGAAAGTGTTGGGCTTCTTTGTGATCGTGATCGTGAGGACACTACAAGAATTTTAACTGCAACCATGCAACGCTTAGACAATTTATTTGCAGTCGACACCTTTGTCAATTTTGTGGCTTTCATTGAGGTCTTCTTAGTATATTCAGATAAAGAAGTTTGGAGAATCGCAAACACTGCGATCCTAAATATGAGGTTGTGAAGATTCTCCTAGTATATAAGATATTCTCATTTGTTTTTTTTCTCTTCTCTGCACTGCACTTCTAGTGCAGAGGCTTAAATTAAAGTTGGGTCACACTACGGAAAAGAGATACCATAACGGTTGGAAAATGGATACCACAACGGATGACCAACCGTTGTGATGTAATGGATGGTTTTATGTATGATGCTTTGTACCAAGGGCACACGAGCGTGATAATAAGGCATGATGCGTGCTACCTATCACAAAGGTTATGCTTTTCAACTGTTGTGATATATATTTAGGTATTGGGTTCGAAACTCGGCAACAACAATTTATTTGGAATATAAATAAAATTTCATTACGGTTACAATAAATAACCGTGGTGGAAAGTACCCAAAGCTTATTATATAATATGTATATTACTTGTTTTTCAATACACCTCACTAAAGAAATACAACCATTCAAATTGATGAAGAAGTATATAATTTAAAAATTAAACTATTCTTGAAAAAT